CATCAGTTGGAACTATGTTCCTACCTAAATAGTTGTCTTGTGGAGTAACGCCCAAGCGGAACGCAAGATAATGAAATATGGATCTTGGCCCACTAGAGGTTTCACCGGAAATCTCCGAATCAATATCGAGGGTTATTGATTTGTTAAAAATAGTGGGAGATAATTAATTAAAGGCCTAATTAATTATTAAACATGATAGGTAACCTAGTTTGCAAAATTTTCTGTAGATGGCAAACAACAACAACCCTTTCAACCTGCGTTACATCCTGGAAAACAACAAGTTATCCGGGACCAACTTTCTTGACTGGGAGATGAACCTCCGGATCGTTCTTGACTGTGAGAGGAAACTCTACATCCTCGAAACGGATCCTCCCAAGACCCCTGATGCTGATGCTTGTGTGTTCGAACTCACTTCCTACAAGAAGTATGAGAACCACGCGCGAGATGTAAAGTGTATCATTATGGCCAGTATGACCGCGGAGCTCCAAAGGCTCCATGCGGACATGGAAGTGCGTCCTATGATAAAATGCTTAAGAGACCTTTACCAGGGTCAGCCCCAAAACTCAGGAGTTTACGTTATCGAAGTCAATATGTCTGATATCACCTCTTGGGTGGTGGATACTGGATGTGGTTCTCACATCTGTACTTCTATGCAGAACTTGCATGAATGTAGACAATTGACGGAGGGAGAGATACAACTAAAAGTCGGCAATGGCGCACTCGTCTATGCATTGGCCGTCGGAACCTATAGTTTATCTCTACCTAGTGGTCTTATATTGCATTTGAATAATTTTCTGTTTGTACCTAGTATGAGCAGAAACATCATTTCTGTATCCTGCCTTGACAAAGCAGGATTTTCGTTCGTTGTAAAAGACAAAACTCTTTCTGTCTTTAGAAATGATATATTTTATGCAAGTGCAAAAATGACCAACGGTCTCTATGTCCTTGACATGGATACCGCAATATATAACGTAGATGTTAAGAGAAACAAACCTAACAGTTTGAATCTTGCGTACCTTTGGCATTGTCGTTTGGGCCACATTAACGAGAAACGCATAT